GTTGGGCATTCTAAATTGTACCATGATCACAGATATTTGAAAAAGAATAGTAAAATTAAAAAATGAAATTATATAATACTCACCCTTGTTGAAGTCTGTGGTTGATTTTGTTATTTAAAAGAATATATTAAACATTATTTCCCTTTTAAGCAATATAAAACTTCATAGTTGTATTTACAATAATGTGGTCATATTTTACATTTTACTTCAGCTACTTAAATTATAAATGATTCATTTAAGCTTACATGAGCTTTAGAGTCTCACATATAAAATATGTTTTGGTTGGTGGAAAATATTTGCTGGGCTTAGAATTTTGGGCATAGAATTTTGCAAATTTCTCCAGTTTTATGGTGGACCTTCAAGTGTTCTGGTAAAAATCTGTAATAAAAGGGAAAACAGGCCTTCCTTCTAATGACCACAGGAGTGCATTCTGAGAGAGAACACGGTAAGAAATTCTCAGAATAACCTTGCACACACATGCTCCAACATTTTACTGGAGAAAAAGCATGAAGAAAACAAAACTACACATAATGTTCTTGTTCCTATGTTATCCTTATACATTTAAATTACCCAAGGAATAAGAGGGTCAGGAAATTGAATGAGAGTTTTCCCATACAAATTGAAAAAAAAGTTTACACATGTAAAATGTACAAATGATCTTCCAAATGTACTTTTAAAAAACATTCTTTGTAAGTTAATTTCTCATTTAACTTCATGTCACTTGAGTTTTTTTCTGTTATAGGAGAGAGTCTCTTAAAGAAACAATGTCTAGGGGCTGGGAAGGTGGCTCAGTGGTAGAGAGCTTGCCTTGCATGCATGAGGCCCTGGGTTCGATTCCCCAGCACAACATAAGCAAAAAGTAAAAAAGCCAGAAGTGGTGCTGTGGCTCAAGTGGTAGAGTGCTAGCCTTGAGCTGAAGAGCTGAGGGACAGCGCCCAGGCCCAGAGTTCAGGCCCCACGACCAGACCCCCCTCTCCCCCCCCAAAAAAGTCTACTTCTTTTCCCTTTCTAAAAATTTATTTATTTTATTTACTTTATGTCAGTACTGGGGCTTGGGCACTGTCCCTGTGCTTCTGTGCCCAGGGTTAGTATTCTATCACTTGAGCCACAGCTCTATATCCAGCCTTTTGCTGGTTAACTGGAGATAAAAGTCTCACAGACTTTTCTTCCCCTGGCTGACTACAATCACCTGTGAGCCCCAGGCACTCTGTATATATGTCAAGTGCTGGTGGCTCATGCTTGTAATTCTAGTTACTCAGGAGGCTGAGAGCTGATTATTGTGGTTTAAAGCGAGCTTGGGCAAGAAAGTCCATGAGATTCTTATCTCTGGTTAGTTACCAAAAGGCTGGATGTGGAAACATGGCCCAAGTGGCAGAATGCCCATTCTTGAGTGAAAAACCTAAGGGAGATCACTCTGGCCCTAAGTTCAAGCCCCATTTCTTGCACACACACACACAAACATACACACACACACACACACACACACACACACACACACACACTAATACAAATACAAATCTAATGTTGTAGATTGTACTGGAGCTAGTTTGTACCAGCCCATAAGAGCCAATGATGCATGTACTTTCATAAACCTTTGCTCAGTGATGACACATTTGTGCTTGAAATCAAGCGGAGTGGGACTATTTTCACTGCAGAAATAAAAATTACTATAGATATTACTATAGATCATCTTGACCCATCACTGCAAGAACTTGTTTGCCACTGTACCACTAAAGATATGAGAAATATAAAATGAGAAATGTTTTGAAGTAAAAACTCAACATTTCAACAATAAAATGTTGAGCTTAATTTCCCCTACAGAGATTATAAATTAACGATTCTTATCAAAGCCACTATGATTTATTAAAATATGTCAGAGTCTGTTTTTCATACAGAACAAATAGATAACAATATCAGTTGGCTATTAAAAACACTACGAGACTGTACTGATTAAAGTAGCACAGTGCTGGTGCAAGAATAACATCTAGATGGTACAAAATAAATAGAACTGAATAGTCCACATTTTATACTAAATAGGTAATTGATGCCTCCACAGGTATTTTGTTTCTTTCACTTCAAATTTCTGCTTTCAGAGGGTCAAAGGTCTGTTCTTACGCTAATAGCCAAAATGAGCTATATAAGCTAAAATTAAAAGCAACAGAAAAACAAAAAAAGTTCAAAGTAATTTCATTAGATTGCTGAGGATGCAAAGAAACCTAAATGAGTTAATTTCCAGAAAATGATGAACCATTCCAAAAAAGACAGCTGTTTTTTTTTTTTTCTTTTTTATTCCTGGCAGTGTATTTGGAGAAGAAGCCAAAGCTGGTTTAACAGATCAGAATCCCAGGGGTACCAGTCCGGAGAGACAAAGGCAACAATTAACCACATTTTCCGAGCTCTCCAGTAGTATTTAATTATAACACTAAGCTTATGAGAGTAGGAGCAATATCTATCTTTATGTAAAATGTTTCTGATTTACAGATAAGATTGGGAGGTCATCAAACCAGAGCCAGGAACAGATGAGCAGGTTTATGCTCAGATAATGTGGCCTCATAGTTTTCAGTCTTACCCATGATATTATGTTGCATCCCACTAAACAAATATCAGTATGGCCTGATGTATCACTTCCTGAGTAAATGGACTCAAATTACCACACAATGTTCAACCTTCTCTCAAACTCAGTATGTATCTAATTTTAAATATTAGGGAAACTTGTTTATTTTATAGAAACCAGAAGCATTTTATGGATGCAGGTGCAAGGATTCTTTCTCTGCTTCAAGTTTCTGATGCAGACAATGTTGAATACTTAGCTAACGCTCCTTCTCAGTTCAAGTAACAGCCAAGAATTAGTTGATAAACCAATTTGAATTCCATCAAAATACAAATAATTCCCCATACTTGTTTGTAGACTTGGCATCCAGGTGTAAGCTGTATTTTCTATTATTTGCCCAATGTGTTTGGCATACTTCTAAGAACCAACCCCTACTGAAATGCAGTGACTAGATGTTTCAGGGGAAACTTGGACATCTTGGATCTTTATAAACTGTTTTCTGAATTTGTTTCACATTTAAAATGTAGAGTATATAATACTCCACCCAAACATCACCAAGTCTTGCTGCTTGAACAGATTATTCAATAATAGCAAGTTGTAATAGCTGAGTATTTTGTCTACTGAACTATTACAAGCAACTTGTCAGAAAACTGCAAGGATAAATGTTTACAGAATTAATAATGAGCTTCTAAACAATTATAAAGAACTAGAACTTTGCTATACTTTATATTTTTCCCAAATTTAATTTGTAGCAGTGATTTTTCCTAGTGTGTGTGGGGTGGGGAGGGGTGTCTCCAAGAAGAAAGAAGCACTTGTTGGCAGAAAGATCCCCAGTGAAGCAAAGGCCAGTTTCACCTGCCAGCATCATAGCTAACAGAGATATGATAAGACATGTCAAGTTTTGCACAGTTCAAAAAAAATCAAAATATGAAATGTTGAACAATGTGGTGATAAGAACACTTTTATATCACCCTAACTCCCTTTACCTGAAATCACTACCTCCTTTATAATACCCAACTTTATTCACAGTGTTGTAACACAGCTAAGTATTTTCATAAAACAGCTAACTTTAATTCTAAAATATGCCCTTCTCTTGCTATCACTGTTTTCCTTAAGACTTCAATGGCCTGTTTCTGTTGGTGATTCCCTTATGTTCTCTTATCTTTAAATTGTTTCCTGGGTCTCTTTGTATAGCTCATTTCCAACATAATGTCTAGTATCACTGCTGAATTGGTTCACCCTTTGTTCTACCTCTTCTGTGCTTCCCCTTTGCTTCCCCAAATCAAATAAACATATATAAGACAAAGGGTACAGAAATCAAAAACAGTGACAAAGGGGAATAAACTAAAGAAAAAAGGAAAGACAAAAAAGAAAAAAGGTAAAAGAAAGAAATAGGAGAGGATCACAAGGGCTCAATAGCTATGCGTATATGATCATATAAAATACTTATCAAAATGAACGCCCAAAAATGGTGTTTTTTGTCAGTCTTGGAGCTTGAACTCCGGCTCTGTATTTGAGCCTCTCTGTGCTCAAGGCTAGTGCTTGTACCACTGAGGCCACAGTGACATTTTCAGCTTTTTCTGAGTAGTTTATTGGAGATGAGCGGCTCGCTGACTTTCTTGCCCAAGCTGACTTTGAACTGTGATGTCAGCCTCCTGAGTAGCTAGGATTACAGGTATGAGCCACTGGTGCCCAGCAGCAAGAGGTTTTTGATTGTACTGACTGCAATTCTTCTTCTTTTTTTAACTTCAATTACTGTCCATGACCTCTGGTGTTACATAATTGACAGAGTAGTTAAAATTCCTAAAAGAGAAACCACTGGAGGTTCATCTTCTCCTCAAAACTTACACCCTTAAAGTAACTCTCCTCTAACATTTAGCTTCTGTTCTTGCTACTGAGGACTAACAGTTACTGAGAGTGGACACACTAACATTTATTGACTATCATATATGCCAAGTTGTTTCCACTATATAACCTAAGGCTACTTGTCACAATTCTATGAAAAAGGTGCTATAATGAAGGAACTGAGGCTAAGAGCACTGAGGGAGTGAAAGATTAAAGATCTGATGAGCACAGGTCATCTCGCTCAAACAAGTGTCTTTTCTCTTACACCTCAGTCTGTCTGCCACTTATTTCACAAAGGTCTTATACTTTTACCAGTAAAATGGAGACCCAAATGAAGACAATGTCTCCATAAAACTAAGGTTGAACTGACAAGGAATTCGTGATCAAAAGGATTGCAGAGTGAATCAATAGAAATATAAAGAATTCAAGAGATTTTTGGAAACTGTAGGCAAGACAGCCATAATTGTTTGAAGCAAGCTCAGACAAAAAAGAAATGTTAACTTTGCTTGATACTGATCAGAACCCAAGTCTTCAGAACATTGTTTTTTTCAGATTCTATGTCAAGCAGCTAGGGCTAAAGCAAAGATTCAACAGAGTCAGTTAATATATCCCCATAAAAATTTATTTCTAGAAACTATAAATAGGTTATTCCAAAACAGGACCAATACAGAGTATTTTCACAGAATTTAGTATTTCTTTTCCACCCATATCCATCTTGGTCACACTTGCTACAAATATGATGATTAAAACAACAATCCTCTTGACTCCAACTTGAATGCCTGAGTATTTTCATAGCTATGTTCAGCACATAATAAAGCAGGGCAATTCATTTTGCTTAAACATCTGATTTCCACTCACAGCTTAGCAATTATTTAATTTCACTTAAATTCTGTTACAAATGATAATCAAATTGCCTACCTAAGTAGGTAAAACCATGAAGCTATAATAAAGAAAGTCCATGGATTTTTTAAAATCAATATAAAACAATAACTATATGGATACACATGAAATTTTGGCCGTACTAGTAGCATGTGGAAGTTTTATTAAAGAAGGAGGGTTTTGGACAAAGACAGAAGAATCATATAATCAAAATTAATGAGAAAGTGTTAGGTAAAAAGAAAATGGCCCACAGGTTTTGCCAAAGGAGGAAGGGAAAGCAGATCATCATAGTTGTTGACATATGAGGGAAATAAAATTACCAATCTATCATATTCTGGCTCACTACCTCAGGAGTTTGATATCAGGTTCTTTCCAGGCATTATATTGCTCCCCCACTAGTTTCTTTACATGCAACATAAGTTACATTTATGGTGACAACACATATTCTTCTGCTACTCAATTTAACAGTAAAATGGGAAAACAAAAACTGGTAAACCACTGATCTCAGGCCATCTCAATACCCCTGAAAATAGGGGTTAAAATGAGTCAGTAAGAAACAGTATTAAAAAGCATTGCCTTACTAATGTGATTTATAAAAGAAGTAGAATCCAATAATCTTGAATGGAAAAGGCTATACTATTTGAGAGTGAGGAATGTTTTTATGCTGATTTTTAACAAAGTGGTATTTCAAGCCATTAGCTGGAATAAATTCCAGACTCACATTTATTTGCATCACCTCAATTTAATAATCCAATAAATGACAAAAAAGACAAACAGTGAAAACAGCATCATATAGCACAGTAACTTTGTTTGGCTCCCTTTGGATAAAATCTTCAGTTTTCCCATAGTTTTCCCCAGAAATCCAGTTGTAGAATCAAATTGTGAATCCTAGGAGAGAATAGAAACATAATTCTGAAATTTTAATGTTCTACATTTGCATATTCAAGTAATTAAGTAGGACTGTCATTACTGTACATTTGTTAAAAGGCTCTCTTTTTCTCCAGTAAAACATTTCACAAACTGTCTAGGTTTTTTTTTTTAATTCTAATTATGTAGAAGAAAAACCATTAACAATAAAGGTAATGTTTGTGCATTACCATAGAGGTTTCTTCTGTTTTGTGCATTACAGAGATTTTTCCTGCTTGGTATAGTCAGTCAGTTAATTGCTACCCTAGACAAGAATTCGTTCAAAATTTAATACAGTATCATATTAAAGGCTAGAATGCCTTTATTCTTAACACCTTTTGATTAATAGTGACTTTGAAGTATAGTGAAGTCTATTAAAAGTTAATCATGTGACAGTGGAAAGGAAAAATATCACACTTTTATTGAAATCTCAATATCCTAAAACAAGGTCTGCCGTAAGATTCTACATAGCATAGCCTCTGTCATAGCTACCCTCTTTAGATACTTGGTTCTTCATAGGGATTATTTATCAGAATCAGGAAAGAGGATGCTGTTTTCAAAAGATACATGCCTAATGCTGGGCACCAGTGGCTCATGCCTGTAATCCTAGCTACAGGAGGCTGAGATCTGACGATTACAGTTCAAAGCTGGCAGGGGCAGGAAAGTCCTTGAAATTCTTATCTCCAACAAACCACCAGAAAACTGGAAGTAGCGTTGTGGCTCAAGTGGTAGAGCCCTAGCCTTGAGCTGAAGAGCTGAGGGACGGCACTCAGGCCCACAGTTCAAGCCCCATGACTGACCAAAAAAAAAAAAAAAAAAAGATACATGCCTATCCCCTGTTCCCTAAATTTTTCAGTGAGAGCTAGGAGGGTGGGCAGCACATGACTCTAATCTTAGCTGAGATTGAGGATTTAGGTTTGAAGACAGCCCTGGCAGGAAAATCCATGAGCACTTATCTTCAAGAAACTATTCCTTCCAAAAAGCTGAAAGTGGGCCTCTGCTCAAGTAGCAGAATGCTAGTCTTGAGCTCAGGAGCACAGCCCAGGCTCAAAGTTCAAGCTCCAGGATTAACACAGACATACACATTCTGAATGAGTTATTCTGAAGAACTACGCATAGCCATTTTCTTTCTTTCTTTCTTTCTTTTTTTTTTTTTTGTTGGCCATGGGGGCTTGAACTCTGGGCCTGGGTGTTGTCCCTCAGCTCTTCAGCTCAAGGCTAGCGCTCTATCACTTCAACCACAGTGTCACTTCCAGTTTTCTGAGTGGTTAATTGGAAATAAGAGCCTTGTGGACTTTTCCTGCCCGAGCTGGCTTTGAACTGTGATCCTCAGATCTCAGCCTCCTGAGTATCTACGATTACAGACATGAGCCACCGGCAGCCAGCTGGTGTATCCATTTTCAAAGTGTACTTTAGATGACTCTAGTACAAAGCATAATAAGAATACTGCTATCAATATAAACTTTTGAATAGTACAAAATTTTAAAATGTGGAAAAACAAGGGAAGATTCTGAGAAATTTTAAATCCAAAGATTAAAGGGTCTAGTGTATTTAAACCTATGTGGGATTTGTTTCGTGGTCATTGCTAAGACATGAATCTAAAGTAAATTTCCATTAAATGAAAGGCATTTGGTTGGCTAGAAGCAAAGATTTTAAGACTGCTGGGTTAGTAAATTACTAGTAGTAGTCTTTACCCACAGAAATTTCTAAAACCATTCAAAATAATCATTTGTCTTGAGTTTTTAACAATGCTTCTAAACACAGAATGGTACGTAAGTTGGTTTCCACCTTCCATTTCTACTTACATTAGGCAAGACAAAAACTGCAAATATAAATATTATAACTATTACAACTGACTAGATACATAGAGTGGAAAATCCAGGATTTATACTCTGTAGGTGTGTTAAAAACACATAAAAAATCAAAACATTATTATTCTTAGTTAACAAACCAAATGTGAGAATGCTAGATCAAATTTTGTAAAGTTAAAATCATAACAACTTACCATTTCGGCTAGTAATTTATTTTGATTTTTAACTTCATGGCCTATTTCAATGGAAAGCTATAAAGAAGAAAGCAGACACATTACTACTCATATAAAGGTATTCAAGTATTGTAAAATAAAAGTAGTAATGGTATTCTAAGCATACATATGTTCCCTAATAAAGCTCTATTCTAGAATTCTAGAAATACAAAATATTATCTCTTCTTCAGATACATTGTCCACTAAAATTAGTGGGAAAATAATTTTCTCTCCTATTCACTCTGATTTCATTGTAATAATCAATTCTGTCTCACTATTCTCTCTGATTCTCTTATTCTTGCATTTTTTGTTCTCTATTTTATTCACATAGGAGTATCTACCTGCACACTTCCTTCTTTCATTTCAAAGGCTACATAAGGACCTGTAGCAAATACAGATATAAGTATTTTGATATTAATATCTGCCAGCATTACTTTGATTATGTTGATACTGATTACTTAGATTATTAAAGATCTTTTTCTTTAGAATATAATTTGAAAATAATTTACAAAGTTAGTAATACCCATATCCTGTATCCATGCAGAAAGAGTATGACGCTATAAACAACTATAGTTTAGGTAGGCAATTACATCTGCTATGCAAACTAAAACCTAATAATTTTATATCCAAAGTGAGGATTAAAGAAAGGCTCTGGCTTATTCAAACCTATGTGGGATTTGTTTAATGGTGATTGCTAAGACATGAATCTAATGGTTTACAAAACAAAGTATTTAAATAAAAACAATCCAAGCCGGGCGCCTGTAATCCTAGCTACTCAGGAGGCTGAGATCTGAGGATCATGGGTCAAAGCCAGCCAGGGCAGGAAAGTCCGTGAAACTCTTATCTCCAATAAACCACCAGAAAACCAGAAGTGGCACTGTGGCTCAAGCGGTAGAGCGTTCGCCTTGAGCTGAAGAGCACAGGGACAGTGCGCAGGCCCAGAGTTCAAGCCCCATGACTGACCAAAAAAACAAACCAAAACAAAACAAAACACAACAATCCATTGCTGCAAATCTTTTGGAACTATTATAAAAGCATATGGGATAACACAAAACCCTATCACTATTATAGAGACCAAAACATAAGCATTTCCTCCAAGTTTAACAAATTACAGGTCATTACCCAACAAACTTGCAACAAGTGTCATTCATGCCAACAAAAGAAATTTCCAGGATAGAACAGCTTTCTCATAACAAAGAATCTCAATGTCCAATATTAGTTTTGTCTTTAAGAGGCATTTAATTCTTATGTCCTCCCAAATGTTATACTTTCTAAATTATTAACGTTATGCAATATGATAGATCAACTCTTTTGGCTTTACTATGACTTGGAAAAACAATATTCTGTTTCACAAATAATAGTCTAGGCTGAACACAATTTGATGTTTCAAGTATTGTAATGAAATAACAATTAAGGCTTGGCAGCATGGGCTTCTTCTGAATGCTATGTAAGAGCATAATATGTTTATTGCAATGCAAAATTGATCATATGCATTATTAAAATCATCTTTGTGTTACTCCTTTATTCAATACTTTATTCAATTAATACCATTGATAAAGAATTATGTAAGATTCCATGTATAATAAAAGAAGGTTTAAAATAAAACCCTACATCCTGAAAATCATTTTTATATGCAAATCATTTTTATATGCATATAATTCCAATGTAAATCACTATGCAGAAATTGATATAGAAATGACACAAATAGTCTTGTTTTCTTTTCTTTTTTTGTTATTCTTTTTTTTTCTTTTATTGTGAAAATACTGTACAGAGGGTTACAATTACATGGGCAAGATAATGAGTACATTTCTTATCAAACATTGTAGCCTCCTCCTTTATTTCCCCTTCCCATCATCCCCCCGACCCTCCCCCCACCCATCAGGAAATAAATTGCTTTTAGATGTAGTAGTCAGAGGCTTAGAGGAAGGAAGTAGTGTGCAGCAAAGTGGGGCCTTTCAGGAAGAACCTAACTTCAGCCAACATAAGGAGGAAGAGGATAAGCAAGACAAGGGACAGTATGACCAAAGGCATGGCATGAAGAGCACCCCCATTTGTCTGGCAGAAAATACATCTGTGTTCTGTATGAGACATAAGGTCTGAAAAGCTGGGGCCAGTCTTTGAAGAACTAAGCCCCAGAGGTAGACCTTGTTTATTTAATCACAGAATAAACCAAAGACTTCTAGGAGGGCCAGATGTAATTTTAAGAACATTCTACAATGATGACTGTAGCAGCAGTACATAGCTCAGCCACAATTGACAGAGTAAGGGGCTCTCCTAATGGATCATGTCAAAACCCAGAAAAGCAGCCATGAAGAAGAGAATCATGAGAAAATGTTAAGAGTGAAATGAGGTTCAAAGTAGAAACACAGAAGATGAAGATTTGTACCTTAGGGGACTAGAAAAAACTTCAATAGCTACTTGGGCTGGAAGATGGAACTGCTCTTTTTGAACTATTACAGAAAATATGTAGTGTTTTTAGATTACTGCCACAGGAAAAGAAAGGTTGGAGTTTGAAAAAAGAATTAAAGAAGAATTAAACAAGATGTGCCATTTCTGAGCCTCCCTAAAATCTGAGTGCAATTCACTCAATGACTGTATTCATACTTACTCCTTAGTATGACACCAAAACACATAATTCATAAGTATACATATATGTGTACAAAGTAATATATGTATATTCCATACTTACAGATTTTATAGCTGTTACTTTGTTTCTCAGACTTTCAGTGAGTCTCTCATTTTCTTCCTCACAGGCACTATACCCACTGTTAGCATAGCCATAGCTCCCATAGTTGCCAGGAGGTGCTCCTTCACCTGCAAATGGCAGTCAGACATGCAGGGTAGCAAAAACAGAGGTCACTTTTGAAAGCCAAACAGTTAGAAAAGAACCAAAAAAGACCCCTGGAGGGCGTTGCAGACCATGCATGTCTACAGTTTTCATACTCTAAGTTTATTTTTAAAATCCATAACCTGAGATCAGGATTCTTTTCAATACCCTCAGTTCTCTTCAATACACATTTATTGGTTGCTTGGCACTCATATACCAGAATATTTGGGAGACACTTCCTGCACAATTGGAACATATACTTTAAGGAAGTAGTATTAATTGCCTGTTGAAGAATTTGGGCTATGAAGAAAAAGGAAGATATCATGTGAGAGGGGAACTAATGTAGATGGAGTCTTTTGCCAGCATCTATTTCTCATTGAGACTTCAGTACTCCAGGGAATGGAATACAAAAGCTGAAGCTTAAGGGGACAGAATAACTTATGGAAACATTAGCTGCAAGTTCTGTAGTTTCATCCATTTGCCAAATGTATCTGAGGAGCGACCTGTGTCAGATCTATTGTTCTCTCAGATGCTACCTATCTTCTTGGGGCCTTGAGAAGACAGGCCTCATTACCCTATTTAAATGTGGTACTAGACACTCATCAGAATAGCAGGTACCACGAGCCTTAGTCAGTCAATGCATGCTCATTGTTCTGGAATTTATGAAGAAAGGTGTCCTTTACCTAGTTAAAAATAAATAAATAAAATACTGCCATTAATTTTTTTGGTAAAGAAGGAAGATGGTCTATCTGCTAAACAATGGTGATAACCTGGAATAAAAACTAAGGAGAATAATGAAGATAAAGTGTTAGGATTGCTCAAGATTGAGAGGAGGATAAAATAAACCTGATTTTAACAAAAATTTGTAATGGCTTCAATCTCCCCAGATGTGTGCTCTTTCTAAAGTACTAGTTAGTCTAGCCTTCAGAAGCCACATGGTCAGGCTCAGCTACAGCTAGATATTTATAGTGTTGGGGCTGAGGAAAAAGAGAACTCCAAAATTGGGTTGCTTGAATAATGGTTGAAATTATGAATGCTGAGGCTGTATTGGCCTGGCTTTGAAGTAGATTTACCAGTGGACTGAGAAGGTAGGAGAAAAGGATGCTATTCAAACAATAAGCTTTAATAAACTCGAAAAGCTGATGGAGTGGCAGTAAGAGCTGGAAGGACAGGGGTTAGCAGGAAGGACTATTAGCTGAAGCAAGGGGTGAGACAGTACAACTTTACTTTCTCTGAGCAGCAAAACTACATAGTTCTGATTGTTTATAACATTAATATTGCTCTCTGGATTGAAATGTTACAATGTTTATGTTAATATTTTTCTCCATTGCTACAAGAGTAATAACTAAGTTTGTTTCACTCATAATTCCCCATAAACACATACACAATGAATTCTTATAAATGAACTGATTAAGGAACAAAACACTACTATTCAGCTTTAGCAAGAGTGGGATTATATTCTTCACTGAGAGGCGTGCCTCATCTTTCTTTCTTCCCCTGTGCCTAATGAGCACTTTATATGCATCAGACACCGCCATTAAAACTGTAACAAAGTGTTGAACAAGTATATTCCAAACTGAGGAAAATGCTGCATAGACAAAATTTTCCCTCAGTTGCTGATATACTATTCCTGAAGTCCTCCAAATATGTTATTATATAAGTTAAAAATGTAGGAACTGGGCATATTTTTCCCAATTAAAGAAATGTTACTTATAATGAATTCTTATTTTATTACTAAGTCATACTATGTGGAAAATCTCCTTTAATAAGGTCTATTGAGGGAAAAGGCAATGCTTCCTACCTAGGTGACTAAAGATCTGGGTATATAACATTTTCTCAACAATTAATTGCATATAGTTGAATCACTCAACAACCTCATCAAGAAATTCATTCTAAATTAATGTTATTTGCTTTATTTTCCTTCTTTATCTTAATTATAATTTTAAGGAGCTTTTTAAAAAAACTGTTCTATATTTTCACAGTAAACTTCTCATTTGTTGTCTAGAAATTGTTCAATGTACATTTCAAAAATATGGTTTCCTTCAAACTGTCACCCACCCCCCGAGGAATAAAATACTGAACTGCATGCCTACCGCTAGTAACTCAGGATGCTGAGATCTGAGGATCATGGTTCCAAACCAGTCTGGACAGAAAAGTCCAAGAGACTCCTATCTCTGATTTACCACCCCCAAACCAGAAATGGAACTGTGGCTCAAAGTGATAGAGCAGTAGGTATGAGCTCAGGGACAGCATCCAGGCCCACAACTGGGAAAAATTAATAAATTAATAAAACAAAACACTAAATTGGTATTCCAAGCAGCCAGTACTTTTAACATGAATTGTTGCTATGAAATGTTAAAGCAAAGTTAGTATATACTGAAGATCCCTTTGTCAGTTGAGACAAATGTAAAATGCTACTTCTCCAGGAAGGGTCTACCAATGACTAGATCTACTTATATAGCAACTCATGAGTAATGCACACATGAATACCTTATCAGATTATTACCCCAAATTATGACACTGAAAATTCTTTAAAAAGCCTGTTATTTTACACCAATGTAAATTATAGTAATACTTAATCACCTTCCCTCTCACCTATATGTAATCTTTAAAAAGAAAAAGGAAGTTTCCAGAGACTCTAAAATTTAGTTGAAAAATCTAATTTAAAATCTTCCCACATATGGTACAGCTAGGGCTTAGAACTAAAAATTCTCAAGTTTTTTCCCCTGCAACTTAACAAGGAACATGGTTGCATAAAACATTCAAAGGAGTCAAGGGCCTATTAATGAAATATGTATTCCTTGGTTTGACAGAGAAAGATTTCCAAAATGAAGTCCTGTGTGACCATTAAGAAAAATGGCTTTATCAGCCTGTGCCAGTGGCATCCTAGCTACTTAAGAGGCTGAGATCTGAGGATCACAGTTCCAGTACAGTCTATGCAGGAAAGTCCATGACTTTTATCACCCACAAGCCAGAAGTGAAGCTGTGGCTCAACTGGCAAAGCACTAACTTTGGGCAAAAAAGCTCAAGGACAGTGCCCAGGCCTTGAGGTCAAGACCCAGGAGTGGTGTGTGTGTGTGTGTGTGTGTGTGTGTGTGTGTGTATACGCACACAATGAAATCATAATTTCTTGGCACAGCATGCATAACTCTAGTTGTACACCTTTCTTTCAGTCATTGTCCTATGTTCTCCCATTATTCATTACTTAATGTCCACTTCAACTTGCTATGTCTTCATAAAGTACACAGTAATCTAGCTTTGAAATCATTGATCTAGTATATGGATGTAAATATACTACATTTACAATAATTTTTCTTTGTACCCATCCCTACTCCCCAGCTAAATTAGATGAGAGAGCACCACTAGGGAGCTGATAAATGGCTAGAAAGCTTGAGCTTATTCAAGTTAATAAATGGTTGTCACTAAGGATGATGAAAAAGAAAAGTTTTCATGCATACAAACCTAAGCCCTTTTGAAATTAGAATGTTGTTTCAATTTCATTTCCCTCTATGGTTTTAGAAAACAAAAAACTACACTTAAAAGGTTGTGTCTCCAAAAATAAAGACACAAATATAAAAGGGGATGTATTGAGGAGAGCAGAACCAGGGGAGGGTGAAGAGAAGGTAGTCAATGCAGTATATATATATATATATAAACACATATATGTATATATACACACACATATATGAATGAAAATAGGACAATAAAATTGTTTTTGATACTTTAATGTGTTAATAAGTGAATGTTTACATTGGTAAGTTTCATTGACTTTAAACATGACATTAAAAATATTGATTCCTTTTTAAAATCTTATAATAACTAAAAATAGTTACCAAGAATAACCTGTTTTTTGAAAGTTTCACATGTATTTCCAAGTACATTGTACTCTGAGATAGTAGAATTTCGTTCTTTAAAAATCTGTGCTCTCTTAATACAGAGCTTCAGAAGCATAAAATACTGTTGTAATTGCTGTGTGTTATTAAAGGGGCCCATAAAATCTCCTTGCCGCTTAGTGTGTTGGCTTCTTAACTCACAAAGTCAAAAACACAGGTTAAGTCACCAAACCTTACCACTTTGTTTTGCATTAACAGTGGAATAAGGTCCAGATAAGAAATGTTCTAGATAATATTGCCTTTGACCCAGACTTCCACACAAGGACTACAAAGACCCATACATTAACCTTTGTAACTCACTGTCATAGGACTAATACAATCACTATCATATCCTAACGCCCAAATTTCACTTTACAGAAACTGAGATCCTGAGTCAGCAGAGAGATTACCCAGGGCTGGGCTGGGAGAACAGTAGTTTCCCAAGCCAAAGCTGAGACTACAACCCTCAACTTCCCAGAGTTGGCACCTGTACATACCCCGCCCAGGTTCTCCTCCTCCCCGCCCCCTCTTTCAAACTTCCATCTTTCCCTCTCTCTCTCCAAACTTCTCTCTCTCTCTCTCCCTTCCTCTCTCTCTCTCCCTCCCTCTCTGTCTGTCTCTCTCCCCATCCAAGCTCCCACCCCCGCCCCCTCCATCCAAACTTCCATCTGAATCAAACTTATGGAAACCACTGGGGTTTGGGACAAATGGTGTGTTTCCACTTGGCAGGGATTCTAGAGATTTTCCCTGCAGACAGCTGGCTCACTAGCTCAAACCGGTGAGAGAGACCAGTCTAAGTTTTCCTCCCTCGCCCCGGGCCCAGCATGGCAGCTTCTAGAGCTGCCAAACTTCGAACCTCAGCCCTCTTCTTACCCAGGCCTGCACGCCTCATTCTGCCTGAGGAGGGGCGGAAAGAGTGGAGCGGGTAGGAGAGGATTCGGGATCACTCAGACCTCGCCCTCAGTCCCAGGGCCCCGCTGAGCACCAACTTCTTGTCCCCGAGCGCCACGACATCAGGAGAGTCTAAACACAGCGCTGACTGATAGCGTCACCGGACGCTAATTGGCGCGCTATGCGAGAGGGTTGCGTGGCCTTCTGGGAAGTGTAGTTCTCCGTCCACGAGGCACACAGGACAGGGAGGCGGGGCGAGGAGCCGGTTGCAGGAGTGGGCGGGGTTTCCGGAAGAGCTGTGACTGCAACTCTTTGACCTGCAGTGTCTTTGGCCTGCACCTTGTCCGCTATTGCTCCGCCTGGTAACCTCTAGGCTCAGCCCACCGGATCTGCCTCTCTGAGGCCTCCAGGACAGATGGCTTACCTTTCCTGATAGGGCCTGGTACTCCCATCTACCCCAAGTCCAATCAAGGGAGGAGAAAACTTCGTTCAAGTTTCGCATTTGACTAAAAACGTAATCTGAGACCCAAGGCAGGAGCTGAAGAGGAACCATAGGACTCATGGCAGGTTTAGTGCTCTCAAAGAAACCCCGAAGTCACCTGGGATTCCTGTTTAATGCGTTGGTTATACCTACAGAAAGAACCATGATTTTTCATTGTAAATGGGACTCCTCTCTCTCTTTCCCGTACATCCCTCCCTCTCCTTCCCTTACTCCTTTTTTTCGCCTCTCTCTACTCCACTTTTCCCTCCTCTTGTCCCTTCTCTCCCTCTTCCAACCTCCTCCTTCCTCTCCTCTCTCGCCTTCCCTCCTCCCCTCTTCTCCCTTTCTCTCCCCTCCTCTCTCTTCCCCTTCTTTCCCTTTCCCCTCCAAAAGACAGGAAAAAAAAAATTCCTGGATTTAATACACAGAAGAATAATTACTAATAAAGATAGAGACCAAAGAGAAATCTTTTTTCCATTTTTCTACATTCTTTTCATTTGTTTAATTCAAATATGTAACTTCATTACTGACTGAAGGCAAAGTTTTGGCCATATATAGCACCTGTAATTTTCTTCAATTATTTTTCCAGGGTATTCTCAGTATCTAATCTTTTGAGAGTCTCCAGGAGATGACTGACTTGAAGTCACAAGTTACACCACAATATTAAGTATTCCTTATAGCAATTATAGATCCAAGAATATGAAAAAGATATATGGATTTGAGTTGGGTACCCTTGGCTTACACATGGAATCCTAGCTACTCAAAAGGCTGGGATCTTGAAGACTTCAGTTTGAAACCACCAGGGAAAGAAATGTCCAAACTCTAAATTACCAGGAAAAAAAGCTAGACTGGAGTTGTGGCTCAGTGGTAGAGGACTATATACAAGCAAAAAGGCCAAGAGATAGCTCAAGATGTTGAGGTCAATACCAGATTTCTGCCCTCCCGCCCTAAATATGGATTTGGTATGATACTGGAATCTTTCTTTTTTTCTGTTTGTTTCCTACCCATTCATTTTATCAGTATAACTAAACTTCAGGACCGAAACAAGGAAAATCAGGATACTAAGGTCTCAAAGTTGACTAAATAAATGTTAACCCATTTACTGACCATGTGGCAATTTCAGTATCTCAAGTATTATGTTTGAAGTGTAAGAAAATATAAACTAAAATCAGATAGTGCTTGACTTACAGTCTATGCAATAATAATTAGTTTGCTTTCAGTGGTAGCTGCTCAGAGTTGTAATCCTAGCTACTCAGGAGGCTAGGATCTGAGGATCAGGGTTCAAACCTGGACAAGAAGGTCTCTGAGACTCTTATCTCCAATTAACCACATGTGACTCAGGCAGCAGAGTACAGGCTTTCAGTGAAAAATTAAGAGAAAGCACCATAGCCCTGAGTTCAAAGCCCAGTGCTGGCACCAAAAAACAACAGAAAAAAATTCGCTTGCTGAATCCCTCATTTGGTACTTAAAACATGATTTCCTGGAGACTGAAATGACAAGGTTTCCAAACTATCACAGAAAACATGTGGCTGTTACTCTTACTATGTTGGCCAAAGTACTGATATAATAGCTGACATAACTATAGATACATTTTCAGTGATTTCCAAAGAATAAAAAGTGTAATCTAATAAAATAAGGCAATACTATTAAAGGAATAATACTATTTTTAAAACATTTTTGTTTAAGGACAATAGGTTTACTTCAAAGTTCTTGACCATTTTTTTTTTGTTTTGAAAGGACTAATTTGTTCATATTTTCCCAAAACTCAGGAATATTACTATAACTGAAGTAATGCTTCTTGGCTGAAGTTAATAAATATGAGGTGCAAAATTCCAACCTAAAAAAAAAAACCAATAAAACAAGCCACAAATTTTCAGGACTTAGTGCAGAATGAAAACTAACCCTACTTCAAATAAAAATAAAAGAGTCAGAATGGGGGTAGAAAGAGCAATTAATGAGACTAAAGCACAAAGCTTTATTCTTTCTTCCATGATAACCTTAACTCTCCATATTGTTTTATTTGCCATTTAATATTAGTGCTTTTCAGATAAATGAAAATAAAAATTTATAATTAGTAATGTAAATTTATGCTTCATCTTGATAATGTGAAGCAGAGTTTTAAATGTGAGTGTAAGAACATTTAACTGAAAGCATTAAAATCACACAATTGTACACTGTAGCTCATATATGAATATTATCTCATTTTTACTAGAACAATAGAAGCATACATACATCTATGTTGCGTGTGCATGCAATATTGTTCCATCAGAATTCACTTACAGAACAGAAGGCCAAAGGTAAAATTAAGAATCTTCAAACAATGATGCAGAATCCTAAAACATAGTAAGTATAGAACCTTGAACAAGGGTCATTTTTTTCACCAGGTGCTGGTAGCTCTTGCCAGTAATCCTAGCTACTCAAGAGATTGAGATCTGAGATTCACAGTTTGAAAGCCAGTCAGGGCAGGAAAGCCTGTGAGACTCTTATCTATCATTAACCAGAAATTTAACTGGAAAGCATGGAAATGTTTCTGTGGCTCAAAGTGATAAAGCAATAACGCTGGGCAAAAAAAGCTCAGAAACAGTGCTCAGGACCTGAGTTCAAGTCCAAAACTGACACACACACAAAAGCTCTTTTTCAGTAACCTGCCCTGGCCTTGAGAAAAAAAAGTTGGAAAGAAATAGCAATTTAGCAGAGAAAATGAAAGGAAAAATTAGAGAATATAGAAAAGATTGTGGGTTAGGCTCTCATGGATTGAGTAAAAGGAAATATAAATTCATGCACATGTGAGGTCCTAAAAGAAAGGCAAGAAGGAAGAGAAAAAGTGTAAGCCATCTATTCCTTCCAAACCATCCACCACACCCCAATTCCTATCCACACTAGAGCAGTACTGGAAGCTAAAATTCAAAATGGGCACTGTGTATTGGATGCCTTGTAATATTCCAATTGTAGAGACTTTGTTGACATTTCTAAACATTATAGAAAAAGAAAGGTTTTTCTTTGCCTAGAACACATCAACATGACCTGTTTTAAATAGTTTCACATTACCTAACATTCAAGATCAATTTAGTCAAGTTGATAGTCATAATATTTTTATTCAATGAATTTATTGAATTATAACACTCATACAATCAAAGTGCCAAAGGAACATGAAGTATACAATACAGTTTTATTCCAATAGCAGTTAGATACCTTGACAGACATGTAATTTTACAATTCCACTTACTGAGTTGTTGTTTTCCCCAATGGCACAATTAGTTTTATATTTGAAACAAAATAGTATTTTCAGTAAGCTTTCTGTGTTTTAAACTATGTTATCAAGTTTTATGTAATATAAAGTTATTTATTTTTTCTGTTTTACAAGATAATGGTCTCATGATTTTTGATTTCTAGAATTGGCCCAGACTGTGTCACAGATGTACCTAAGTGATCTTACCTCAGTTTACCTTAGCTTATGGACCCAGAAGTACTCTTTGGCCAATAACCTAAAGACCCATTTTTTACCTTGTTAGTTATTAACTATAACTATACAGTCAGCTGAAGTGGCCTAATTTTTATATATTCAATATTTGGTTTGTTTTATTCCCACAGTCTGAGTCACTATAGCAGATTCAGAACATTTCATAGAGTTAAAGAGATTTGATCATTGTACCAAGCTCTCATTCCACAGGTGTAAGTCTAGTATGCCTTTAAAAATTATTCATGCTTTCAGTAATACTTTTCTGATTTGCTGACTTTCTCTTCTTGACTTCCTTTATGGCATCTCTCTATCAGCAGACACCAAAGGTATTACTTTGTATATTATATATAGGATCACGTATATAAGACACTGTAGTACAATGGAAGGTAATATATGTTATTGATCCAACTTACATGCATGTGGTTTGTGGCTTTCTTACTCCAGAGAAATTTGAGCTGGATCATAAAGTAAAAGGTAAAACAAAACTTTAATAACAATTTATGTTCATGTAAGTTATTTGGCCTAAAGCTAACCTATGTAATTGTTATTTAGCCTAAATTTTATTACAAAGGTAAATTTTAAATAAATACTGAAGAGTGAATGAAATTGACAGAATTTTATACTTTTTACATAATTCTGAATTTTGTGATATTGCTTCCATTAATTAATTAATTGTCATTGTAAAGGTGATGTGGAGAGGTCACAGTAACATAAGTCATATAAAGACTACATTTCTTTTTTGAACAATGTCATCCCTTCCCTCATTCTCTCCCAGTTTTTCCCTCCCATCCCCACCCACAATTTGTATAGTTCATTTTCAACATAGGCTCTAGTAAGTATCACTGAAACATTTGTCCACCCTTTGTCCCACCATTTCTGTGCCAGCCTCAACCTCCCAGAGATAGGCAAACAAGCAAACAAGACAAAAGGAAATGAAAACAAAACAGCAACAAAGAAAAAATAATCTTCATTTCTGTGAGCATTATGCCCACCTTTGGTCCTCAGCTCCACCCAGACTGGACCTCTCCCTGACCTGGAGGTCCCACCATACAGCTGGCCCCTACCACTTCTCCTAGACCCACCTGAACTCCTATCTAACTGACTTCCTAACTCCCAGTCCCTGCTGCTACCTAGATAGTGCAGGCTGCCATGCACTCTCTCTCCAGGGAAAATATGGCTCCTCTAATAAACCTTGTAA